ATAAGAATCAGTTTGTTATCCTCAATAACGTTGAGATATATAAGAATCAGTTTGTTATATCAATAACCTTGAGATATATAAGAATCAGTTTGTTATCCTCAACAACCTTGAGATATATAAGAATCAGTTTGTTATATCAATAACCTTGAGATATATAAGAATCAGTTTGTTATATCAATAACCTTGAGATATATAAGAATCAGTTTGTTATCCTCAATAACGTTGAGATATATAAGAATCAGTTTGTTATCCTCAATAACCTTGAGATATATAAGAATCAGTTTGTTATATCAATAACCTTGAGATATATAAGAATTGGTTTGTTATATCAATAACGTTGAGATATATAAGAATTGGTTTGTTATCCTCAATAACCTTGAGATATATAAGAATCAGTTTGTTATATCAATAACGTTGAGATATATAAGAATTGGTTTGTTATCCTCAATAACCTTGAGATATATAAGAATCAGTTTGTTATATCAATAACGTTGAGATATATAAGAATCAGTTTGTTATATCAATAACGTTGAGATATATAAGAATTGGTTTGTTATCCTCAACAACCTTGAGATATATAAGAATCAGTTTGTTATATCAATAACGTTGAGATATATAAGAATCAGTTTGTTATATCAATAACCTTGAGATATATAAGAATCGGTTTATTATCCTCAATAACCTTGAGAGTTAGAAGTGAGAATCGGTTTGCTATCTTAATAGAAGCAGAGTGAGATAATACTATGTCCCTCACCTTGAAAAGAGGGCAACAAGAGGCCAAAGGGCCTTAAAAGTATAAGAGATAGACGTAAGAATGGGTTTGTAGTAAGGGTTGGAATTTCTCTCTTTGATCTTTCATAATATTTTTATTGTTATTTTAACACTAGAAATAAGAGGAAGAATTGTAATTTCTATCCACGATAAGTAGGAGTAGAAGTGTTAGATACAACGGCTAGTTTTGTATGTATTAATTTAACAAGCGAGGCATGTTGTGTAGAAGTTGAACACTGCCGACTTGACATGAAATTTATGAGAAATGAAATTATATATTTAGGTGGGGATTAATTGTTTGACATGGATCAGATTGCTTTGTGTGATAAAGTTTAGATTTCTTAACATGTAGTGTGACAGGATACAGAAATATGATAACATATACATGTTTATACAGGTTCTGTACAGTGGATATCTAATGTTTGGATGTTAAATCTATACAGTCAACTTTAAAGTACATCAAGACACAGGAGGGTAAATCTTTGTATAGACAGGGTTTTTATGTCATTACAGTAATACAGAACAACGCAACACCTCTCAGTACACATACCTGTAAATGTCTCCCCTCTAAAGTACACCCGTTTATGTCTCCTGTCGAAAGTACACCCATTTATGTCTCCTGTCGAAAGTACATCTGTTCTTTAAATAGCTCCTGTCTAAAGTACACTTATTTATGTCTACTGTCTAAAGTACACTTATCTGTATATGTCTTCTGCCGAAAGTACACCTGTTTATGTCTACTGTCTAAAGTACACTTATCTGTAGATGTCTTCTGCCTAAAGTACACCTGTTTATGTCTACACTTTTCTGTGAATGTCTCATATCTTTAGTTCATCTGTAAATGTCTTCTTTCTAATGTGCACTTATATGCAAATTTCTCCCATCTAAAGTACACTTAAAAGCAAATTTCTTCCATCTTAAAGTACATTCATCTGTAAATGTCTGCTGTCTAAGATACACCTGACTAAAGTACATCTGACTAAAGTACACCTGTCTATGATAATCTCATGTCTAAAAGACATATTTCTGGAAATGCCTTCTGTCTAAAATAAACTTGTTTATAAATTAATTTTGCCTGTCAAAATTGTCGACTGTTTAAAGTACACCTGTCTATAAATATCACATGTCAAATGAACACCTGTTAATGAATATCAGATGCTAAAAAACCCTGCCTGTAAATCTAATACCACATATCAGAAAGACATCTGTCTATGAATACCATATGTCAGAAGACAACTGTCTATAAGTATCAGATGTAAAGAAGACATCTGTCTATAGGTCTTAACATGTCAAAAGGACACCTGTCTACAGATATTAACATGTCAAAAGGACACCTGTCTATAAATCTTAACATGTCAAAAGGACACCTGTCTATAAATCTTAACATGTCAAAAGGACACCTGTCTAGCAATAACACACGTAAAAAAGGATGACCTATATGATGGTGAATGAATGACCTTTTAATTCTTTAAACAGAGCAGTGTTTTCAAAGTCATTAAGAATGGTGCTTAGCTCCTAGATAGTTTTCCTGCTTACTTCGTAATACTAAGAGGTTTCAGGCTTTTCTGAGAAGTAGCAGTTCACTTTTAATATAACAAAATGTGACATGTAGTGTGGTAGAAAGTCTTTCACCTTATTAATCCCCTACAGGCCAGTGGGAAGCAGGGGGACTATAGTTTTGTGTTGTGTCTATCTGTAATTCCATCTCTCTTTCCTCTCCTTCTGTGTTTCTGCCTGTCGAGAAGTAGTTTGTCATGACTATCTCCCACTCTACTAGTTAATGCTATTCCATACTTGGTATATATGTTCATATTAGTGATGCGATGTGTCATGTGTCAAAATAGGTTACTATGACCTACATTTTTACCTCTGACCTACTTCAAAGAGATGGCAGTCATAGTTTAATCTTCTACACTACTAGTCACTCATGAAACTTCATCAATGGTGTATGGGTTCACCTAGGTGAGCAGTGTGTTGTGTATCCAAAGTAGATCACAGAGTAGGTCCCTGGTTGTCTGGGCTCTTTCTCTTACTAGTCACTAGAACTTCTTTTACTTTAGACATGGGTTCACTTGCATTCTTGGCATATAATTTCACTTTTGATTGGGGACTGTAATTAACAGTATTGTCTTGTTATGAAGAGTTCTGGAAATTGAATCCTTATACAAGGTTCTAAACTTATCATGGAGAATCCTGCAGGCTGAGACAGTCATTACCCAACATTATCACAGGATCCCTCTAGTGGAGACACTTTGCTTGTTAAAATTAGAGGTTTATGAATATATTTAAATATGTAATTCATTTTGTATTGGGAATATAAATCTAAATGTCCGATTCCTCAGTAATAGAAATGTCCTTAAAAGTACTAAACAAATCCGAACTCTTTTACATTAGAAATGGAGTTTTAGACTTTCTACCGTAGAGACACCAGTGTTTGATATGATTTTATTGGCCTTATTGTCAGCCTTTAGTCATAAGTCTGGCATTACTTTAAATGATATTTAATCAACAGTTTGAATTTCTGATGTCAGTCAACACAGACTCCACATTGTCACAGGACAATTTAGCTATCCGTGTATGCTTAAAGTTTTTAAGTTTATGTGTAGCATTGTCTGTGTGAAATGGAACCTGCACTTAATATACTAGTAATTCTGTGTAAAGTGCTTGTCTTACAGATGGGACTGCTCGCTGTTAGTGTTAGGTGTATTATTGTTGGTATGAAATGGTCAGTACTGTTTTTGTAAGCATGAATAGATCAATACTGTTTGGCTCAACAGTGTTATCTGTAAATGGACATTTTGTAAAGTTTGACGATTAGCATACTTATACCTAATGTCAATATTTAATATTCACTTATAGCTATTGTAACACAAGTAAATAAACTAGAAATAAACATTTTCTTCATATTTTCCAGTTCTTGTGTATCCTATTTATAACAAATATCTTACAAGGACTGGTTGGTTATTTAGCAGTTTTTAGGAAAGAAATATATGATAATTGTTTTATAATTATTGCTGTAAAAATGAGAGGACTGATAAAAAGGCTGATACAGGTTGTCACTACAAAGGTGAAAGGAATTGAGTGAGAATATTTACCTGTCTGGTCGTTAACAGGTATCAAGTGGAGTGTTGTATTACTTACCTTGGGTTGGTACCCAATAGATGTATCTGTGTTTCCATGGTACACATTGGATCAAATCAGTTCTCGGTCTATGAAAACTTTTAGAATTGAATTGATCTAAAGTTTATATGTTTTATGAGATTTTTTTTCTATATTTTACTTTGACAGAGTAAAGTAGTTTAAGCAACTGAGACCTGTTTCAGTACTGAAAACGTTGCTGGAATGTACTTGAGACTGGAGTGTCAATATCGTCACACTGTTTGCTGTGCGATGTTGTATTATATAATTGAAATTGATTACTTAGCATGCCAAATAAACCGTACATAAAGAAAAACTTGTGAGGCGAGAAATAGCCGGTGCGTAAGTGATTCAGCATTCAGCCGTCGTACAAAGGAATACTTGTTAGCAACAGATGGAGCTCTGTGTTGATTTATTTACAATGTTAATTTGTAATGGATTCTGATCAGGACATCAATATTAGAAAGTGCAAAGTTTACATCGAAAGTTTGTTTGGAATTTCCTGTGTACACTTGGGAGTGTAGAGAGTGGCCAGTGGTTACAAATTAGTGCCGGAGGATTTCACACAAAAGTAGACATATCAGTGCTGTCATTCTATTCAATTCCTCCTTGATATTGTATTAAAGTTATGACTGCTGCAAAGAGGTTTTCAATTGAGAGGATTGTATGGAAGTGTTGAAGGGTAGAATGGCGGACAGAACAAAACGGTAACATTTCTATAGAAATGTGTGTTTATTGGGGAGCTGAAGTGACCTGTGTAATTCTGTACTAATCAGAAGTAGGCACCACAACAGCTATTCAGTTTGACATCTAATGTGATGTAAATCATATCACCTTGTAAGCCATACAGGTTTTTCAATAAGTTGGGAAACTATTTTTAAAGTTTTTGGAATTTATCACTACTGATAATAATTTTGTTGTGAGGTGTTTGTCATCAAACAGAGACTTTAAAGATATTTGAGTAATTTGTTGTTTTATTGGTCAACAAATCCTTTGTGGCTGGTAGATGTGAGGAATTGATTTGTGTTATTGATTCTGTCTTTGAGTTAGGGTTAAGGTTGTCTCAATCCTCACACCGACAGACCATCAACATGTACAGGACAGGAAAACGCTCACAAAACAAGCCTCAGTCTGCTCCTCGATCAAGCTTTAACCGTATAAGTGGCATCAGCAGGCTTAAAACAGCACCGCAAAATGTTGGCTCAAGCCAAAAGATGACCTCAGATATTGAAAACTCTGACACCATTTTGAATGAAAGTGAGGAAAAAAATAACATTGTAGAGGATAAAAACAATGACAAGAGGATGAAGTCAAAGCCAGCCTACTCAGATGATGAGGACAGCCTCAGGTAAGCATGAAAACTCAGCCTTGGGTGAAACGTCGGGGACACTTTAAAACACAAATGCACCAGATTCTCAATTATATTTTTTTCAACTTTTTTATTTTTGATGGTACCAACTTTTTATACCAACAATTGATGGCCATGTTTGTGATATCATATGACAGTATCCTTGTCCGTCTATCTGTCGGTTGGTCTGTCAGTCTTTCTGTCCATCTCAAGCATAACTATGCCCATGGTTAAGCAAGAATCATGAAACTTGGTGTATACATTGATCATGCTAAGGAAATGTATACTATACCAAATTCAGGGCCCTTGACCCCCTGAATTACAGAGTTACTTCCCTTTTGTTAAAATTTTGTGTCTGGAGCATCACTTTGCCTGCATTTAAATTAGGATGTTGAAGGTGATGTATACATCAGTCATACAAAAGCAAGGTGCAATGTAGCAAAGTCAGGGCCCATGACCCTGCAGTACAGAGTTATTGCCCTTTGTTAAAATTTTGTGTCATGATCATAACATTATTTGCATTAAAACCAGGAGCGTGAGACTTGGTGTATACATTGAGTATATTAGGAGAATGTGTAGCATAATAAATTCAGGGCTTGCAACCTGTTCTTAACAGAATTATTGCCCTTGTGTAAAATTTTGTGTCAAATAAAGTCATTTTTGGGGAGCATTCATTAGTTTCAATGATATTTTTGTTTTGACTTTAGTGTCTAATGCAGTGTGATGTGTATCATATCCAATACTTTGTGAAACTAATTACTCAGGCATACTAACAGCAAACATTTGTCAGTTAAAGTCTGGCCAACATATTTTGCACATCTGATGTCTGATGCTGCATCCAGTGGTACTATTCTGCCAGATCTTACACAGTTGTATCTTGTAATTGACATTTGATATACACATATATGTAAAACCTCAGATATGTTCCTATAATACACTTTAATTATTTGTCATCATTAGAGTTGACCATGTATAGTACAATGTTTGATATCTTGTATAATGTGTATCGTGCTGTTACCATGTTTAAGACATCAATATGACTACTATAGAGTCAAAACTGATGTTAGATCCACTTACTTTGATATTCCCAAAAATATACATTTGTACTTCAACTCACAAGTGTTCGACACACATAGACTTGTACAATATGTAAAATAATGTGTTGATGAATCACCTGGACTGTTATTCCAGGGGCCAAATGGGACCTGTATCAGTGGAGGATTCAGTTGTCTGAAGAAGTAATTACATTGCAGGCTTATCTGTGTTATTTTATACAGTGCAATGAACTGAGATTATTACTATTTTTATAGCTATTTCTGAATGTACATGTATGTTGCTTGACTGAAAATCAAACAAGGGGATGTAACTCTTGGAACCTTCAATTTTAGTTATAGTGTGTCAATGATCTGACTTATTAGTAGGTTTACTGTTGATAGTATGATATAAATATATAAAGAAAATACTCCTTTCTACTTTACAGATTGCATTTATCTGATACTCATTAAATAGAATGTGTTACCTGTTTATGTTTGGGATTAATTTGTATCAGTTAAAGGCTGACAATCTCATTTCAGGCAAAGATAGATGAGTTGTAACAGAATGTTAGTTCAAAAATATTGAATATGATATCACTTCACATTAACTGTCAATTTAAATGCATCCAGACTTACCTGTGATATAATACTGATACAGCTATACTGACTTACCTGTGATATAATACTGATACAGCTATACTAACTTACCTGTGATGTAATACTGATACATACAGCTATACTGACTTACCTGTGATATAATACTGATACAGCTATACTAACTTACCTGTGATGTAATACTGATACAGTTATACTGACTTACCTGTGATATAATACTGATACAGCTATACTAACTTACCTGTGATGTAATACTGATACAGCTATACTGACTTACCTGTGATGTAATACTGATACAGCTATACTGACTTACCTGTGATATAATACTGATACAGCTATACTAACTTACCTGTGATGTAATACTGATACAGTTATACTGACTTACCTGTGGTGTAATACTGATACAGCTATACTGACTTACCTGTGGTGTAATACTGATACATACAGCTATACTGTCTTACCTGTGGTGTAATACTGATACATACAGCTATACTGACTTACCTATGGTGTAATACAGATGCATACAGCTATACTGACTTACCTGTGTTGTAATACTGATACATACAGCTATACTGACTTACATGTGATGTAATACAGGTACATACAGCTATACTGACTTACCTGTGATGTAATACAGGTACATACAGCTATACTGACTTACCTGTGATGTAATACAGGTACATATAGCTATACTGACTTACCTGTGATGTAATACAGGTACATACAGCTATACTGACTTACCTGTGATGTAATACAGGTACATACAGCTATACTGACTTACCTGTGATGTAATACAGGTACATACAGCTATACTGACTTACCTGTGATGTAATACAGGTACATACAGCTATACTGACTTACCTGTGATGTAATACTGATACAGCTATACTGACTTACCTGTGATGTAATACAGGTACATACAGCTACATGTTATTCATTACAACCTGTCACATGATACAAATATGCCAGTATTGACTGATACTGTACATAACCAAGTTTGTATCTTTTAAATTATGAAACTATAGTATTCTGGCATAAACTGATTACCACTTACAAGTTATCAAGTACTATCTATAAGTTAATGTATATATTACAAGATAATGGAACCATGTCATTCAAATACCTCACAAATTTAATAATTATGTATAAGAGAGAAATGTATACCAAAATATTATTTCACTTATCCAAGTTAAATTAAAATGCAAGGTTTGTTTGATATATTCAATGTAGAAATAATCACAAAGAGTTGTAGATTTACAGAAAAACTTGAGGATTTAATTGATTTCTGTACCCGGCTGTGCTCCTTCTCTATATCATTATGCAAAAGTATTTACTACAGAAAATGTTGTTATTTTGTACATAATACCACACGCCTTGTATCATGTTAACTATATGTATGTTTACCTCTTGTTACACACGTAAGTGTGTAGGGTGATGAAATAAAACCCTGTAACTAGCATGATGTAGCTGAACTGATTGCTGTTTTCAAAGTTAATGTTCCAGTCATTGAATCCTGTGTAAACATATTCTTTTTGATGCTATCCATTTTCTGTTTAGCACAGTGTTTACGTTTGTGCACATCGAGCTATAAAAGTCACATAAAACAGGCCATGCAAAATAAAACTGATATTCACTGATCTTCTCTCATTGACTGCAAATGAAAAATGGTTCTTAAATGGATTTTTAACAGAACTTTTATTCAGAGTTTATAGCTGATGGATTCAGTCACTGATTTTTTCAAACACAACAGATAAAGAAACAGTAACATATATAAAATATGTCAGATTTTTACAGTTATGTCCCTAAGGATCTTATATTTCATTATATAGTTATCTTTAAAACTTTGGACCCTGCTTCTTTTTAATCTCATTTAAAGGTAAAATTATAGACATTTGATACCCTAGGGCAAATGTCCAGGTCACCAGACAAGTTTGACTTGTGAAACTTTCTTAGGAAACTGTTTTTAAGTATCAGTGCCCCAGTATATATGTAAAGGAGCTCACAAGTTATTCAAGTTGAAAGTTCAGGTGACCAAGCTGTTGCATGCGTTTAATATTGGTTTTTCTGTTCACATGATGTACTTACACTGACATACTTAATAGACGAAATTTCTTATAGGACAGTCTCAGGACATTAGTTATAAAAAGTGAAAGTTTCATATGAATAAAAACTTTAGGAAGGAAGAATATATGGGATTTTTCATGAGATTCCAATTCATATAAAATTCATGAAAGTCTATTTTATTGTACCACTAGTGAGATTCCTGAAAGTCTATTTTATTGTGCCACTAGTGAGATTCCTGAAAGCCACTAGTTCCTGAAAGTCTATTTTATTGTGCCTGTAGTGAGATTCCTGAAAGTCTATTTTATTGTGCTTCTAGTGAGATTCCTGAAAGTCTATTTTATTGTGCTTCTAGTGAGATTCCTGAAAGTCTATTTTATTGTGCCTGTAGTGAGATTCCTGAAAGTCTATTTTATTGTGCCACTAGTGAGATTCCTGAAAGTCTATTTTATTGTACCACTAGTGAGATTCCTGAAAGTCTATTTTATTGTGCTTCTAGTGAGATTCCTTCTAGTGAGATTCCTGAAAGTCTATTTTATTGTGCCTGTAGTGAGATTCCTGAAAGTCTATTTTATTGTGCCTGTAGTGAGATTCCTGAAAGTCTATTTTATTGTGCTTCTAGTGAGATTCCTGAAAGTCTATTTTATTGTGCTTCTAGTGAGATTCCTGAAAGTCTATTTTATTGTGCCACTAGTGAGATTCCTGAAAGTCTATTTTATTGTGCCACTAGTGAGATTCCTGAAAGTCTATTTTATTGTGCCTGTAGTGAGATTCCACTATTTTATTGTGCTTCTAGTAGTGAGATTCCTGAAAGTCTATTTTAGTGAGATTCCTGAAAGTCTATTTTATTGTACCACTAGTGAGATTCCTGAAAGTCTATTTTATTGTACCACTAGTGAGATTCCTGAAAGTCTATTTTATTGTGCCACTAGTGAGATTCCTGAAAGTCTATTTTATTGTGCCTAGTGAGTGAGATTCCTGAAAGTCTATTTTATTGTGCCACTAGTGAGATTCCTGAAAGTCTATTTTATTGTGCCACTAGTGAGATTCCTGAAAGTCTATTTTATTGTGCACTAGTAGTGAGATTCCTGAGATTCCTGAAAGTCTATTTTATTGTGCCACTAGTGAGATTCCTGAAAGTCTATTTTATTGTCCCACTAGTGAGATTCCTGAAAGTCTATTTTATTCCTGAAAGTCTATTTTATTGTACCACTAGTGAGATTCCTGAAAGTCTATTTTATTGTGCTTCTAGTGAGATTCCTGAAAGTCTATTTTATTGTGCTTCTAGTG